TTATTGGAGAGTTTAGCTAATGAACAATACGTTAATGATGACAATATAAATCATGTTGAGATAAATTATTTAAATAAAATTATTTGCACAAGATCTATATATATTATTCAACAGGTGGCAAATATGGTGAGTGCATATGATTACATCACATAATGTTTAATGTAACTTTATGCGATTCAATATTTTATTTATTTTTTTATACTTATATACAGATTGATGAATGCGTCATGGATTTTCATTTCAATTCTAAAACGGAATCACATTTGAGTACATTTATAGGAAATCATTTTTTATCACAATCCTCAACTATACAGTTGTCAAATTTGATTGAACAATCCGAACATTTAGTTGTTATGCCACAAAACTTTTTTGATCTTAACCAAGTATTAAACATGCTTTCATGTCGTTGGGGTACTGAATGTGAACATTTTTGGCTAGTGATGCTTAAGTGTATTGGATTTGCCACGAAACAAAATGCTATAGAAACAATTATAGAGCTTCTACTTAAAATTGATCTTTCTATAATACCATTAAATGATGAAATAATTACGAATAGGATGAACCTCGCTCGAGAATTAATTACTACTTTGGAGCTTAAATGGAAGGACGTTGTTAGGTGAGAATAAATATTTTAATACTTTATTCAAAATTAATACACATGAATGTAATTGAATTATCTTTATTATTTTAGTTTTGCTGTCGATAGAATTGTGGAAAAAACCTTGATATACAAAAAACTTGATTTGTCATCACTAGCCATTAACACTCAATCTATGAGAGTATATAAAACACTTGTTTATTTTATTGTAACACATCCGGAAACGTCTAATATCAATTTAACGGAGTTGACAAGTGGTTCATTAGTAACGAGTAAAACATGTAAATGTATATTGGATGCCTTAGGAAATTCATACCGAAAGTTACTACGCAATTTTCGATGTATGCTGAATTCTCATAATGATCGGATAGAAACAACAAGTTCTGGATGGTTGTTATTATTATTACTATACGCAACGTCTAATATGTTAAAAAAATCATCAGCTCGATATATTATCGCATGTTGTAATGAGTTGATTGGTATATGGTTTGATGTTATGTCTAAACAATCTCAATTAACGAATTTTAATGGAAAAAGGGCTCAATGGGACAAAACGATAGCTATTTTAGAAATGATTGGCATGTAATTTTAAAACATATTTCTAAAAAAAAAAATTTTTTTTAACATTTAAATTTAATTTCGAAATTTACGATTTTTATCTTTATAGTTTTAACATTATCACAGTATCGAGAAGCTTTTCCATATATACCAAGTCTTATATTTAAAAAACTTTTGATCAATAATGAATTTATACGTAATTGGCCATGTAAGATGCAAACGGAAACCACAGAATCACATGTTCGACACAAAATACCGAGATTTAAATTTGGTTCTCCAGGTTCTAACAATAAATCATCAACGACAACATGGAATACATTGAAACCCAAACCTTGGTCAGACAAAAGACCTTCATCATCAAAATCAAATTCTCAAAAAATTTTTACCATGTTTATAAATAATTTTAATACGAGGTAATGTTCTTTTAATTTTAATTTTAATTTTATTTCAAAAATTTAACATTAAATTTCTGTAACAGTTCCCCAGGTGATGATTGTTATATATCGAATGTATGGAATAATGGAATATTGTTTAAGATTTGCTGCATGAGTCCGGGTGATTATTATAATTAGGATTTTTCAATCATACATATAAATATTAATATTAATATATTTATTATAAAAACACTAGATCTGTTATCTTTTGAATCTAGTAAAACTTCATTATTGATACGTCTTCTTATACAAAATCTGACGACTAAGGAACCTCCAACAAATGTTATAGGACATATAATTTTACCAAAATCTATAACATATCGTAGAGATTCATTTTTGCAATCAACATTTTATGAACATCCAGAGTTATGGATATTACTCAGTTTTTTATCAAATGGTATGTGAATATTATTCTTAATACGATTTATTAAAGGCTATTTGAAATAAAATTTTTATTTAATTCGAACCTTTAATTAATTATTTTAAGATTATGTAATGTTTGGGGAACTTTTCGAGTCTATTGTTCGATCTCTTCTTGCGACAAACATTGCTTTTTGGTATCGTGTAAGGGAACAAAATCAAAGAAAAAATCAAATGGAATTAGATACTGCTATACGACTTGTTGAAATGATGCATAAGGTGAAATAGTCGAATCACGTGATTTTACCATTGTTTTAATAAATATAAATAAATATATTTATTTTATATTTATTATCATTTTTATTTAATAGGCACAGTATATTCCTCCACCTCTAAATAGTGTAGGCCGTCTATTACCATATATTCAATCAAAGGATGTAGGATATTTGTTATTTGAATCACTATGGAAGTTTGTATTGGAGAATTGGCAACTATGTCCATACTCGGATGACTATTATATGTTTGAAGAACAAACAACACCAAGCAATCAACTTATTCATTATTCAGAAAGAGTGAATGCGATTAAATTGATGATTCAAAAAAACATTTTATCCATTCCTGAATTATTAACTCATTTTGTTAATTAAATGAATTTGATTAACTATTTTAGAATTTTAAATAATATGTTAAGAAGAAAAAAATATATTATTTGATGATCATATTTGCTAAGTAATATTATTAATGTAATGATAAATGTATATACTCATATTAGCAAATATTGGAATCGAGATTTTATGAATTTTAGTTAAAGAAGTATGTAATAATTTTTAACATGTGAAAATATTTAGCAAAGGGAATTACCGATTTAATATTATCGAAAAAAAAAAAAAAAATACCTACAGATAAACATTTTCACTTCGTGTCTCACGTAAGACGATTTTAATAAAAAAAAATTTATTATTTTTTTTCAATGTACAAAAAATATTGATTTTAACAAAAAATCTATATGTATAAAATACTAGAAAAAATTTAATTATATAAAAATACAGACTACGTACTATTTGTCTAATTATCAGTTAAAAATGGTATTTAAAGACCAAATATATTACATCACTATCATAATATCATTATTGTTATTTTTCACTGTAGGGCAAAAACGTAAACGGTGAAGTGTGCGGATTATATATGTGACCGAAATTTTTAACGGTTTTGACTACGGATGGGTAAAGTAATTTATTAAGTAATCAATACCGATACTTATTTTTATCTTATTTATTACTATCACATGATAATAACGGTGCAAGAAAGGCAAAAGTTTCATTTTTGATAGATCTACAATGTACTCAAAATTCGATTACGTTCTTGATGCACTTTTAGTAAAATTTTTTTGAACTTTGAGCGAACATATCTCAATAACTACTTGACCAAATTCAAAGAATTGTTTTGTTTTAATTCTATAGATATATGGAATTCAAAAAAACAAAAAAAAAAAAATTTCATCGATTTTGATCAAGCGGTTGTTGAGATATTTTTACTCAAATGTTAGTAAACAAATTCAAATGTCTATTAAAATAAGGTGCGCCAAATTTTTTCTAAAACTTTGAGCGAAGATATCTCAATAACTACTCGACCAAATTCGATGATTTTTTTTTTGTTTGTTTTAATTCTACAAATATATAGAATTCAAATAAAAAAAA